GCTGGACAGTTCTGGCAAGCATGCGTCATAATATTTGCTGTGACTCCATGTTGCATCCCATCAGAAACAAATACTGTCACCATTAGTGGTGTCAAGTTTGAGTGTTGGCTTAAGTTGGTGATACCCAACATCTCAATCATTAGTCAACAATGCCAATTTATAATTAAAAGATAATCTGTGGGATTATAATTTGAGGTTTTAAAATATGTGATGAACTTTCCAATGAATCACATATTTCATTGTGAATCTATTTTGGTAGATTTCTAATTTTGTCGTTTATCTGCATATCTTAGTTGCAAATGGTGAATGTTTGAAGGAAAAGAATCACTTTTATCTCAAAGAAATGATGGGAGAGAGAAGAAACTCCTTTTTATTCTGAAAATATGTACATAGTAAATTTGTAGTTTAGAAATAATTTTTATATTTCATATAAATTAAAAATCTGCTTCATATAGTACTAATATCTAAAACTGGACTATTTTCAATAGAAATTATTTTTTATTTTGTCTACATCAGTTTCTATCTGTTGTATCTCTATTAGAGAAAAAAGTTATGAATTAGGTATGAAAATACAGCTACTCATTTTTAGATAATAAGTGAATGCAGTAAATATAAAATAATGAATTACTACTTTTCTGGGCAATGGCATGGATGGTGCCTGCTAAATCCATGTGCCTACAAACCCATGAAGAGAGAGCTTTATTAAAAGCCAAGCCACGAGTTCTTAAGCCTTCACCTTTTTAAGCTTTGAAATGAAACTGTCTGCCTATTTACTCTGTAGAGACAGACACATTCTATTTATTAGGCTTTTTTCCCCTTACTGTTAGAATGAGTTATTTTGTTTGATCAGGTTATTACAATTACATTTTGCTGAAAACTTAATTTAATATTTTAATAGTTTGCAATCAGGTAAGAGCCTTGTCTATTAGGGAACCCAGGACACGTTCTAGGATGCGTTTTGTAGAAGTACAGCTGATGCATTCACATTTAGTTATTTGCATTCTGATACCTGTGATGAATTCACAGCATGATTTGAATGAAAATAATTAAACAATTAGCTTTATGATGCACTCACAAACCTAAAGTCTGGTATATTGTTTCCATCTAAAATGTAACCTTACATCTATTGTACCTGAATTAAGTACTCTTTTAATAAGTTAGAAAAAACAATTAGGAAGGAATATGTTAAGCACAAATCAGCATTGATGGATAGTTTTTATGTAATGTAAGCATTGAATATTACATATTAATATGAAATACATATTGAGGAAGGAGAGTAAACTCTTTAGTCTCATATTCTCTCAGCATTATGAAGAATCCATCTATAGTTGAAAATGTGATTTTTTTCATGCAGTACAATACATTTTTAAAAGGCCAAAGGCTCTAGAATTCTCTTAAATGATAAAAATGTAAAGAATTGCAGCTCATATAATAACTAGGAAGACAAAAGTCTACATTCATAACTGCTTGAGGTCTTAGAGAATATTTTACTCAGATTATATTAAGCTATAATTTTACTTAAATTATAAACCTAATTTTTAGGCCTTGTTGGACACAGATGAGAAACAGAAACAGTCCGGATGAAGAAGAAAAGGAAAAGCTTTATTTCGGTTGATCAAGCAAAGAGCAGACCAGACTGGAGTCTCCAAAGCAAGCTCTCCCAAACCAGGGGCCTGTAGTGGTCCGTGTGCCTAACTCATTGTCATGGAGTTGCTTCAGACTCATAGCTACCCTGGAGAGGACAGAGTAGAACTTCCCGTGAGTTTCCGAAATTATCACTCTGGGGAATAGAAAGCTGCGTCTTCCAATATGGCTGGTGGTTTTGAACTGCTAACCTTGCAGTTAGCAGCCCAATGTGTAACCACTACACCACCAGCACTTCCAGGAAGAAAATGAAATTATGAATGTGTAACAGATTTAATAGAGTTTAGAAGTAATGTGTGTTTATTCAACAAATATTTGAGTGTCATGCGCTAGACCAGTGTTTCCCAAAGTGGGTAATACCACCCCTGGAAGCTGCTGAGATGACCCAGAGGGACTATAAAAACAGATACCTACTCTTTAGTCTGTATTATGGACTAGAGAACAAACGTTTTTCATTGCTGGGGCGATGCTGAGTAATTTGTTTTCTGAAATGAGCGAGCAGTGTGGTAGGCCAAAAAGGTTTGGAAACTTATGTACTAGATCAGTGGTTCTCAACCTTCCTAATGCTGCAACCCCTTAATATAGTTCCTCATGTTGTGGTGACACCCACCCCCCAACCACAAAACTGTTGATACTTCATAACTGTAATTTTTCTACTGTTATGAATCTGGCAACCCCTGTAAAAGGGTCGTTCAACCCCCAAAGGGGTCGCGACCCAAGGTTGAGAACCGCTGCTGTAGCCCTTCTTAATAGGTGCCAGTGATACAGAGGAGTAAAGGAGACAAGATGTTGGGCCCTTATTGACCTCATGCTTTAGTGTAGGAGATAAAATGGTAATATAATAATTGATGATGCTAAGAGTTATGAAGAAAAATTAAATGGGATAAAATGATAGGGTCACTACTTTAAATAGGGTGACAGGAAGGACTGTTTGACCAGAGGTTTTGTTGCACCGAGAAAGTGAACATCAACAAGCTTTGGAGGAGGAGCCTGGCAGGCAGATCAAGCTGCATTTGCAGTTGGGAATGTACTTGGCTATTCAAGGAAGAATGTGATCACCAGGGGAGTATTAGAGATAAATTGGGCCAATGAGGTACCCAGGGATTTATTTATGCAGGGTCTCATATGGCAAGGAGTATAGCAAGGAGGTGAGATTTTATCTGAGGTATGACTTTTTACAAAAGGCATTTGGAAAGTTTATAGAAAGGCAGTGACGTGATATGATCTGTGGTCTAAAAGAATCTTGTGGGCTGCTGTGGAGAAACTGGCAGTGGAAGGTCAGCAGAGGAAGCCTGACGGCCGTTGGGAGGCTAGTTCAGTCGTCTGGAGATGAGGACATGGTAACTTAGATGAGGTGCTAGCAGTAGCGGCAGTGATCAGTGGTTGAATTTGCTATACTGCATGTGGCTGGTATTTCCAAAAGGATTTCCCAATGATTGGTTATATGTGGTAGGAGAAAACTTAGGAAGGAGCAGATTTGGTTCAGAAGTTAAAGATGTTTAAGAGACACCCAAAGACAGTTTTTGAAACCAAGGAAACTTACAAGATTGGCAGTGAGTTCTAGAGCAGTGCCCTGAGGACCAAGACCAAGGGCATCCCAACATTTAGAAGAGCAAAAGAGAACCCAGGGAAAAAGCAGGGACCTGGAGACATGGGAGCATCCTAGACGGCCAGGGCAGAGACGTGGATGGTGTGGCTCTACTCACTGGTGAGCATCCGTGGCAGTTCATCCCTGTTTTCAGAAGCCAAGGAAATGCTCTACTTCATTTTACTAAATCTAAGCTCCCGAATGTTGCTGTTGCTAAGTGCTATTGAATTGAGTTGGTTCCAACGCATAGTGACCCTGTGTACAATGCACAACAGAACAGAACATGGCTGGGTCATGGCCCATCCTCACAGTTGTTCTTATGTTTGAATTCATTGTGCCAGCCACTGTGTTAATCATCTCTCCAAGAGTTTTCCTCTTTTTCACTGCCCCTCCACTTTTCCAAGCATGATGTCAGTTTCCAGGGACTGCTCTCTCCTGATAACATGTCCAGAGTTCATGGGATGAAGTTTCACCATTCTTGCTTCTAAGGAACAGCATCATTCTGACTATACTTCTTCCAAGACAGGATTGTTTGGCCCTTGGCAGTCCATGGTACTTTGAATATTCTTCTCCAGCATTCAGTGTCCAACTTTCATAAGAATATATTGCAATTGAAAATACTGTGACTTGGTTCAGGCACAGTCTAGTCCTCAAAGTAACACCTTTGCTTTACAACACTTTAAAGAGGTCTTGTGCAGCAGATCCTGAATAAGCCATGGGAAACCATTGAAATGATACTATTTTTTTCTCACAGTACAACACTTTTCTGGGTATTTCTGTATATAAATTACTGTTTGGTAACATTACTAGTTCATCATCACGCATCGTTGCGTCATAGCTGCCTTGTCACAAGAGTGTCTAGAGAGAAATAATCTCATTTTCTTTCTCAGGAAATAAAATTTAAGAAGTGAAAGCGAGTATACTCATGTATACTCTTTAGTTATGTTTATAATTCTTCCATTGATTTATCTCACAAGAGATTATTTTGGATAATTTAAACAGAAAATGAGATTTTGAAGTGGTAAAACCAAGGATTATGAACATGCTGCAATTTTACAGCTGAAAGGTAGAAGTCAAGGAAAGGACAGTTCTATGGATTAGTAGTGTTACATTGCCTGCTTAATACTGCATAAATCAGGTGATGTTTCAGTTGAGCTGACTTGGGGATATTAAATTTAATGAGTTTGTACTTGAACCTTTTGTTCCATGCAGATGAATTTAGTTGTCAAGGACAGGCAGGCAGCAAGTGCTTATAGAGCACCCATGGGTGATTAGGGGTAATCCTGGCCCCCACTGCAGCCAAGAATAAGCTTTATGTTTAAAACCCTCAGTTTATTACAGAAGCCAATTTGGCTTCTTACACTTTATTTAGAGATTTATTTTTCATTTTCTAAGTTGTAAAATTTAGTCTTTTATGTTCTTTATATTGCCAATTCTATTTCAGTCTCAAAGTTAAGGTTAGCTCTACTTTGCATGGTGTTTTTTCTTCTGCCATTCCCTTTGGTAGTAAGAGCTAACATTTACTGAGCATGTAGTTCAGCCTATTGTCGTAGTAGGAGTCGTGGTGGCATAGTGACTTACAATTTGGGTTGCTAACTGCAACATCAGTTCAAAACCACCAGCTGCACCTTGGGAGAAAGATGAGGCTTTCTACTCCCATGAAGAGTTATAGTCTTAGAACCTCACAGGAGCTGTTCTACCCTGTCTGATAAGGGTTGCTATGAATCAGCACTGTCTCAGTGGCAGTGAGTTTGGTTTGGGTTTGGTCATCATGATAAGTTCTTGCCATGATGTAGCTTTACAACAACTCTCTGAAGAGCAACTGTTCATCTCCAAATTACTCACAAAACTGAGGCTTAGCGAAGTTAAGTAACATGCCAATGTAACATAGCTAAGTAAGTGGTAAAACAGTACGATTAGCTATCCCTATATTTTTAACATTGAACTTTAATTTCTTCTAAAGTTTAAAGTTTATTTAAACTTTAATTTCTTTCATATATCACAATATAATTTCTTACTATCATCATTTATCGCCCTTCTCTAACCTTTAACTCTTCCTTTATCTTTTTTATATATATTTAAAGTAGATATGCTGACAAGATGTTTAAAATGTTATGGCCTTCTATATTTGTGACATTTTTATATTAGGATACCAACATCATTTTATAGTGGGAGTTACCCTTGAAGTAAAAAGACATGCTAATTTGGGGTGATGTGTGGTTTATTTAAAGGTTTAAAATGTGCTGGTTTCTTTCAAACTTCCTGAAGTTCCTTAAAGTGAGCCCTTACTCAAACCTGGAAATTAATTACTGTGGGAATGTTATAATTGTTTGTTAAGATACACATATATTTGTTTTTATTCCCTTACACAACAACCTCAGAACTTAGATAAACCCAGCAACCCAAAACCACTGGCATGGGGTCAATTCTGACACACCGTGACCCTATAGGACAGAATAGAACCTGTCTCTTTTAGGTTTCTGATGTTGTAAATGTTTATGGGAGCAGAAAACCTCATATTACTCCATGGAGTGACTGCTGGTGTATAGTGGCACAACTTATAACCTACTGTGCTAAGAGGGCTCCTGGAGTTAGTGCCTCTCTGCTCTAGGGAGTGGTGTTTTAAGTTAGAAAGTCTCCCCAACACTTGACAGCAACAGTGTGAAAGGTTGGAGGGCACTTTAAGAGCACTGAGAAGAGAGATGGGGCTATCGACCACCTTTCAGCCTTTCAAAAGTCACAACTTTACTATGAATTTCCTGCGGTGTTGGATTGTCATGCTGTCACAATCCAAGGAGTAGTTAGTTGCTTTATGGCAGGCGCTGTAGTCTGTATGCTTTCTAAATGTAACATCTTTTCAGTATCTGTCCTACCTTCAAACTAGTCAGACACAGAGCCGGGTTTGGCCTCAGTCAAGCTGGCTATAGGAGTGTGTGCACTTTCCTCTCTGTGTAGTAAGTAAGACATGGAATTCCAAAACACAAACTGAGGACAGTTAGGTGTGCTTATATCTGAAAATACTGTTTACTCGTGTAGATTTAAATGTCTATTTAATACACATTATTTTTTTACAATACCCATAAAATATGTTTAAGAATTGTATCTGATCTTATAAAATATTTCCCACTGTATTATTCATTTTAAACTTATAAGTCTTATAATAATTAAAACCTATAATTTGAGGCTTTTATATTATACCATATATCATGCTAAGTAGCTTATGCACTTAACCTACTCTAAACTCAGAATAAACTTGTGATTGGCTTTAAATTCCCATATTATGGTTGAGTTAACTGAAACTTAGAAAGCTACAATTATTCATTTCAAGTCATACTATTAAATGGAGAAGTTAGTATTTATCTCATGTCAGGTGACTCCAAACACACCCCTCAACCACCATGCAACCCCAAATGAGCTCCTGCAGAAACCTGCCAGGGAACTTGTTGAAGATAAGCAAGTTACATGTCAGTAACTAGGAACTGTTAGGTAAATAGAAATGGGTAAAAAAATAAAATTTAAGTGAAAAAATATGCTACATGCGATTCAAACTTTGTAAGGATTAAAGTAATATGATCATGAAAGGAAGCTCTCATTCTTGGAACTTAAAAAGCTGGTTGTTCTTGGGACTTAAATTAATGCTTGAGTTACACTGAGTTTGACTTTAACTGTTCTTTGTTTATGCTTCTTGTAGGTTTGAGTGGCCGCTTTTTTGTCACCACTCTCCCAGCCTTTTTTCAGTAAGTTTACATCATCTTCCTATAAAGATAAGAAAACAATTACTGCATACCAGGGACTCTAAGTTGTTTTCCTTATCCACGATTCCTTCAGCTTTCCAATTGAGGGGAGAAAGATTGCTCTGCACAGAGTGATTGTTTCAGCAGGGACGTGTAGGCTAGAGTAATACAAGGAAGGGAGGCCTGGATGGCCTGATGGCAGGCAGGAAAGAGATGAGGAGATATAAGAGATATAAATGATGGGATGATTCTTAATAAACAAGTAGGGATCATTTATGCAGACCAGGTAGAGAAGGCCCAGCAGAGGAGACAGCATGTAAAGGTCCAGGAGAAGAAAATGTGATTCCTTCTGAGAACTTTACCTAGTTTTGTGGTTAGCTCTTCGATCAGACTGGGTGATGAGACTAGGGAGGCTCAGGGTGGTGATGGTATACAGATTAAAAGAAAGGGATGGGTTCCAGAGACATTTAAAAGGTAGGATCAATGGGACTTGGTGATCAATTAGCATCGGAAAGGAAGACTCTGATGACTTTGGTCAGCTATCCCCACACTTCAAGGTAAGGAATCATTAGAATAAAATGAAGTTTGGGGGATAAAACCATATTGGAAAAGATGCTAAATGTGAAGTGCTTATAGTAATTCCAAATGGAAAAATTCAGGTGGCATTTTTTGGTGAGGAAATAGATCTCAGAACCTAGATATTAGGAATTTCATCAGCATCGAGATAGATAACAATCAGAATAAAACTAGAAAGAACAGATATAATAGGAAGAAAAGCTGGCCAAAAATAGAACTGAGGATAATACAGCGCTAGTTTATCAAGAAAGACAGGGGAAGATGGGGAAGGCATGGTTAGAGGAGTAGGTAGAAGTCTGGATGGTCAGCTGAAAATCAGCCATGGAAAGGAGGAACGAGGGGGATGTTCAGTAGCAGGCAGTGCCAAGCACAGATCAAGTGAATTTGGCAGAACACTGCTCTTCAGCTATGACATAGGAGTTGTTGAGTCGTTTCAATGAAGTCATGGAAGCAGAGCTTACACTGACACCAAGCAGTGAATGAGTTTTAAAAACAAAAACCTCACTGCCATCAGGTCAATTCTGACGGAGGACCACCCTAACGGAGAGGGAAGGCCTGCCCCGGAGGAGACTGCAACTCTACCGGGGCGAGTAGGAAGCCTCTCCACTGCACCCCCCTCCCTGGAGGTTAGCAGACCCACCAGTAACCAGTATGCCGCCAAGGCTCCAAAGAGTATTAGAGGGAAAAAAGCAAAGGCAGCCTCTTTTTCTTAGAAGTTTGACTCTGGCCAGAAGGTGAGAGGGAGGGAAGGCTGAAGGGAAATATGAAACTAAGAGAAGCTTGCTGACTTTGAGGGGAAGAACTTGAAGGACAAACTTTTGGAAATGTGGATACATTTATTTTAACTTGATAACAATTGCTCTTTTGCTGCTGTAAAGGTTGCAAAAACTAGTTACAAAAATAATAAAAAGCAACTTGGCAGATTAAATATAGTGAAGAACTTTGATTATTATAACAAATTGTACAGTGATGAAAAAGAACATTTCGTGTTTTCAGCTTTGGAATTTCATATTTATAGTAGGTTAAAAATGTGTTCCTTTGTGCTTTCTGATTTATGTCTGACTCTATTTTTTCCTTTCTATTAGCCAATAATGACAAAATCAGAGTGGGGTTCGCTTAAACTAGTAGTCAAATTGGTGCTTATTATTTGTAGTAACTATTGATCTTTTTAAAAAACTTTTAAAAATTAAGTGTGAGTTTGTTACCATATTGTCTTTTGTAAAATTCAACAACTTCGCAAACCTCCCGGTGGCTTGCCCTGTTCCTCTCTTCCATGTTATTTTTAGCCTATCTTCCTCATGTTGACTGCATCTCTTTTCCTTACCCCAAGTTAACCCTTGTCTACCTACTGGTCTTTTGCTTCTCCTCCCTTCTCTTCTCCTGCCGTTCCTGGTAACCATCAGAGTATGTTTTGGGGGGTATGAAAACCATTCTTTTGGTATGGTCTCATACCACAGTTAACCTTTTGTCATTGACTAACTTCACTCAGCCTAATGTCATCCAAATCCATCATGGCACGGGGTGTTTCAGAGTTTCATCATTGCTCTTTAACAATGCAAAGTGTCCAATTGTGTAAAGGTACCAAAGCTTGGTTAGCCATTTTCCCACTGATGAATACATAGGTTCTTTCTGTCTTATTATTGTGAAGGGTGTTGCAATCGACATGCATCTGCATATATCTCCTAATGCTGTATTCGTTATGTCTTCAGTGTTTATACCAAGTGTGTTAGGCATTGTTGGCTAGAGAAACAAATCCAGTGATACTCATACATGTGTAAGAGAGAGCTTTATATCAAGAAGTAATTATATATCATGCAAACATCCCAGCCCAGTCCAGATCAAGTCCATAAGTCCAATACTAATCCACAAATTTCTCTTAAGACTCACAAAGCCACGTGCTATCATGCAGAATGCAGGAAGATCCCAGGCCAGTGAGTACAAGGTCTTGTGGATCCAGTGGCAGTGGAAGCATCACAGGGTTCCTGCAGGTCTCAGCATGGCTCATGAACAGGAAGGTGAAGGCAGAGAGAGAGAGGAGGAGGTTCCCAGGGCCCGCCTTATGCAAAAGTCATACCCACAAGGATGTGTACCATCAGGCTGTGACCTGATTGACAGACTAGACTCCACTCCTACACTTCTATGTCTTCAAGTTGACTTGGAATTCTGTAGCTGCCACACCAAGTAAGGAGCTCTGGTGGTGTAGTGGGTTATGAGTTGGGCTGCTAGCTGCAAGGTCAGCAATTCGAACCAACCAGTCTCGCAAGTGGAAAAAGATGAGGCTTTCTACTTCTGTAAAGATTTACAGCCGCAGAAACCCACAGGGATAGTTTTGTCCTGCCCTACAGGGTTACTCTGAGTCAGAATTGATTCTATGGCAGTGAATGAAAGTTGATATGCTAAGTAGAAGAATTGCTGGGTGTTTCCATTCCCAATTGTTTGAAGAAGTCCATACCGCTTTCCTTAGTAGTTACACGATGCTACATTGTGTGAGGATTCCAATCTTCTGCATCCTCTCCAGCATTTGTTATTTTCTTCTTTTTTTCTTCTTTCTATCGTTGCTGTAATTGCTGGCGGTGCAGTGGTATCTCGTTATTTTGACTTGCATCCCTGGAATGGCTAGTGATCACATGCATTTCTTGTTTGTTAGCCACCTGCTATCTTCTTGGTAAATCATCTGTTCATGCCCTCCTCCCTTATTTTAATGTAACTCCTCTTCTTTTTCTTGCTGAAGTGTTGCAACTTTCTATAGATTTCAGGGATTAATCGCTTGTCTGACTTATCATTGCCAACATTTTCTCTTAGTCTGTGGGCTCTTTTTACATGAAGTCATTTGATGCACATAAGTTCTTGTTATTCTAATGGAATTATTTATGTTTGTTTTTGTAATTTAAAAATAATTACTTGTTTTTATAGTGCAAAGGATGGAATTTTCCGCCGTTACCGGGGGCCAGGAATCTTTGAAGACCTGCAGAATTATATTGTGGAGAAGAAATGGCAATCAGTCGAGCCTCTGACTGGCTGGAAATCTCCGGCTTCTCTAACGTAACTTGTTATTTTTTCTGTTAAAAGATATCATTATTGAAGCAGGGGGCATCAAGCTAGCAGCCATAGTATCTTGAAAGCCCACATTTTCCTGTAGATTCCCCTCTATTTCCTTAGGTCATGTCTGACCATTCTTGTCCCATGTAGTACTTTTAGTTTTATGACCCATGTATGTTTCCATTGCCCTGGAGATTAAGTCACCAGAGTTGGGTGGGTTATAAAAAGCTTCTCCCTTAGCATTTTTAAAGTCATGTTGTTTCTTTTCTTGTAAAAAATGTTATGCATACATGTATATATGTATATATATATATATGTATATAGTAGTGAGCATCATTTATTTACATTATTCTTCTTACATTATTGATAAAATGGTGGAGTAGCTCTTTATTTATAGTTCATGACTTTTGTATCCTAATGTGGAAACAATGTTATCTGTTATCCTTGGCTTCTCATCAGGGAGTAATTTGTGATTATAATGACAAAGTATTTAGAAGGGAAGAGTCAGATCAAGAATAGGGGACAGATACTCTCAAGAGAGTATATGGTGTGCTCATAGGCACCAATTTAGGAAAAGCAACAAAAACCCGCGTGGTGTGCTAGAGTGGAGCGGTGACACTCGCATAAGCTGAGTGAGAAAGGCAAGCCAAAGCGGGGCCACTGACCTTGTGTCCACGGTGAGGCACTTGCATTTTGTCAGTACATACTAGGAGAACATGACTTAGAATCCTGAGATTGGACGAAGCAGGAATAGATGAGGTGAAGGGTGACATCGTTGTTGAACCTACGGTGGTGTAAGTTTAGATGGATTGATATAAAATAAGTTTTAAGGTAAACTTGACCAAGGCAATAAATAAAGGTGGGGAAGGGAGCTCAACAAATAAAACTCCCAGGTCTCTGGTTTAAGCGCTTGTTGGATTTTGATGCCACTGACTGATTTGAGCAAAAGAATATCAATTTGTGTTTCACAAGTTTGAAAAGTAGACTTCTTTCTATAGCTATCCACAGTGGATTCAGGAACACAGAATCAAATATGAGCGTCATCAGCCTGTGGACAGTGTCCAAAGCCTTAGAAGAGACAAGATCACTTAGAGCAAAAGTGATAAGACTGCTTGGGACTGAACCATAACAGACCCCAGCATTAAGAGGTTAGGTGGGGGACAACAAAAGGAAATGGGAAATGAGCATTTATGAGGCAGAAGGAAGGAGAAATAGGGTTTCCTAGAAACCAAGTAAAGAATGCTTAGCAAAAAGTAAAGTCTTAGATGCAGGTATTGAAAGAAGCAGGATGGGGTCTCATCATTGCCTTGAAGAAGTAGTGTTTGTGCAGAAATCAGGATGAAAGCCAGATATAAATGGGTTAAAATAACATGTATGTATGGTAACGAAGAAGAAATAGCAAGTGTAGACTACTTTTGGAGACTTTTGTCTATGAAATATTTGTAGAGGACCAGAATGCTATTTTTCAAAGATGGAAGAGAGTAGAGCATGTTAGCCTGTTGCTCTCAAGTCGATTCCAACTCAACTTATTGGACAAAGATAAACTGCTCCATGAGGCTTCCAAGACAGCCTCATCTTTCTCCCATGTAGCAGCTGGTGGGTTTGAACAGTGGTTCCTGTAGGAGAAATTGCTAATGTAAGAAGAGCCAATGAGTGAAAGCTATTCATTAACAAGACAAAAGAAATGAAATCTGAGCTACTGTGGAGGAGTAAGAGGATTGGCCTGCGCTAGGGCAGATAGCCTTAATGGCCCCGTGGTTAAGCTCTGGACTGCTAACTGAAAGACTGGAGGTGTATACCCACTAGGTGCTACCCAGGAGGAGAGAGTTGGTCATCCAATTCCATAAAGATTATAGCCTTACAAACCCTTTGGAGCAGTTCTTTTCTACCTTCTAAATTCTCCATGAGTCAGTATCAGCTTCACAGCAACTTCACAGTATCAGCTTCACAGGTTTTGGTTTTTAGAGCAGATAGACTTTCTCTTTTGTAATAAGAGGAGTTACATGTGGAGAACAGACTCCGATTTAGTGGTGTTGGAAGATAAGAGAGATCATGTAAATGGCTTCCGATTCCCTAGTGACATACGAGGAATGTTTGGTAGCTGACAGTACATGAGAAGAGGAGATGATAAGGTTTGAAGAGAGCAAAAAGGAAATTTGCTGTCATCTCAAAGCCCAAATAATTCCATGGGCTCAGTAGTATTGCATGCTCCTGGAAGAAAGACTAGTCAGCTGGTCATGTGATCCCCCAGTGACATTCAGCTGCCCAGGGTTGGGAATTTAGCTTGGTATGTGCAGTATGTAGAAGGAGAAAGGAATTTGAGTATATTTTTAATAGAGTGACTCAAATGATGAGTAGGCTCATAAGAAAAGAAATGAATGAGTTCAAGAAAGTGGGAAATAGAGAGTAAGAAGTGCAGGGCCTGTACTGCCACCTGAATTTGGAATTCTTTTTCATAGTATATGCAACCAGTGAGTCTCTTTCTCTTTATTAACTAATTTATTTATGTTTAGAATGTCGGGAATGGCTGGTCTTTTTAGCATCTCTGGCAAGATATGGGTAAGTGATCTTAAATATACTGTGAAATTATATTCCCAGAGAGTTGTATTTAAGACAAAGAATGTGGCTTCTAAGCAGTAGAAAATTAACCATTTAATGAAAACTTTGATACTGTGACTTTTGTTCTTATGTCAAACAGTTACTCTCATGTGTTGTCTGTAAGGAAGGTGTACGTTGGCAGGTACGCTCTAAGAAGGGCGTGAGAGTCATATTTTCTTGGGTCAGTACTGAACCCTTTATCAAAGTTTTAAAAGACAGTAGGTCTCTCTTATTGTTCTCCATTTCTTTTGATCCCTGCAGATCAAAATATGCCCAAGTCAGAAAATAGCTCTATATGTTAGGGAGTCAGAAAACTACTTCAGTGTCTGTTTTTGTAACTGAGGTTTTATGGAAACACTAGTCATATTTTTCATTACATATTATTCATGGCTACTTTAGTAGCACAATGGCAGGGTTGAGTTGTGAAAGAAACTCTGACCCACAAGCCTGAAATGGTTGCTTGCTGTCTCTTTAAAAGAAAAGAAACGCTATATACTTCCACTACATAGAATTAGGATCATATTATTACACTGAATCATTGCAGAGTATAAGAACATTTATTCAGGTTAAATACCAATTTATGTAATTTCGTATAGCCTTTATTCTTCCTTCTCAGAAGGGATGCACTAAACCCTATCTGATTTGCTGTGATTACCGTGCAATTAAATATGATCTCCTTTAAATATATTTTAAAACCTCCAGAAGTGAGTCCCAGAAAGTGGATGTACTTTCTAAGCGATGTTTTTCGGTCATGCTTGGAACTTAGATTTCAAGAAACTTAGGAGAGTTCTTTGCCATCTCTCATACATAATGATGCATGTTAAGGAAAATTTAAGAGGACTCTTTTGTGTCCCAGTGTTTTACATTTGCTGCCTTCCGAGATAGGATTTGCTATTTGGCTAGTTGAAGACTTGGATTCTGTCTTTTTCAACTTTTTAATTTTGTCTTTGTTCATCATATTAAATTATAAAATATTTTCCTTCTCCCCATATGGTTTGAAATTCATGTTGTTTCCTTCTGCTACTTTGTTAATATTGGTGAGATACTTAGAATTAAAAATGGCAGACTGGTTATTGAGAGTACGGTATTAAGCCATTTGTAGTGTACTGGCACTTTCAGGGAGCTATGGAGGTGATAACCAGCTGAGAGCCTCTTAGTCATGCTTTCTCTTACTCAGCAGGACAGTTGTAATAGGTGGTTACCAAGAGCATTGATAGCAGGGTTCTAAACAGAACCTAAGGTAAGTCAAGTCAAGAGGTTGGTTTAAATGGAAGTGGACTTCAGCCCTCACCAGTTGTAAGAGAGAGACTTTACTTTCAGAGAGAGAGTGCGAGGGAAGATAAATTCTTACGCTGCCCATATATAGCTTGGCATTTAGTGTTTAGATAAATAAGAGTTAGATAAGTAGCTACATTACAACCAAAAAAATACTGCAGTTTGGAGTGCATCAAGGCCTGAAATGGAGATCTGATCTTTTTATATGAAGTGCCTAGCTATGGGCAGTATAGGTAATTCTGTGTGGGTGTGTTGCATTAAAAAAAGAGCCATATGGAGAATAGAATATGAATAACCAATTAAGTTGTTCTTTTTAGTGATTGAGAAGTTCAGTAATATAGCATTTATATGTATGTTTATGCTTCTCTTTCCAAGTATTTAGAAAGTACACAAAACAATTTATAATGTTCATTGTCTATACTACATTCTTATTGCACCTATATCTCTTCTTTCAACCTTTGTGTTGCTGTTATATTTTAAGTGAGTTTTGTCAAAAGCATATATAAAAAAAAAAACCAAGCCCTGTGTCACTGAGTTATACTGACCTTATTTGGCGTTTCGGAAACTGTCGATTTTTATGGCAGCAGCCAGTCTTTCCTTTCTCCCGTAGAGCAGCGGGTGTGGTGGGCATGAATCATCAGTCTTGTAGTTTGCAGCCATCAGGTCCCTTTAAAAAAGCAAGTCACCTAAATACCAAACCCATTGCGATGAGTCGGTTTTGACCCACAGCCACCATATAGGGCTTCTGGTGCTATAAATTCTTACGGGAGCAGATACCTTCACTTCTCTGCCACAGTAGGCTAGTGGGTTAGCAGTACCTCAGTAGCAAGGAGTAAATACTTAAACTGATAAATTTAGCCCATTTACATTTATTGTATAACAAATATATTTAACTTACTTCTGTCATTTTTCCCCCTCCTACTGTCTATGCTTTAAATAAGGATTCCCAGTCTTGGGAACCCGAAGGGGCAGTTCTGCTCAGTCCTGTAGGATTGCTGTGAGTTGGAATCACCTCCATTGCCTTGAGTGTTTTGAGATTATAGCTTAAGAAAAAAAAAGTATTCTGAAAGCAGCAACCAGAATGGAAATAATGAGAATATTCATACATTTTGAAGATTATAACCGATGTCACTGAACAGTTTGTGTAGAAATTGTTGAATGGAAACTAAACCACTATGTTAACCTTCACTGAAATCAAAAAATATCATTTAATAAGCAAAGAAAACACATGGGTTAGGAAACTGTGAAGCGATTCCTTAATTTCCTACTGTCCACTCTATAGTTCTTTTCACCCATACCATACTTAAAATTCATTACCAATCACTACTCAGTGTATCACTCATATATAAAAATTTATCAAATTGTACACTCTAGATACTTTATTATACTTCAATTCTACTTGGAAGCATATATATATATATATATGCATAATTTAAGTTGGGAAAAGAATCTTGTGGCAGGACTCATGACCTCTTTTTGTAGAATCCAGGCTTTGGCCTTTTCATCATAAGGAGTCTGAGAGCTGGCCTGCGGAACTTCTCCTTGACCAGCTGTCAGGTCTCTAATGTCGGTTTCCACCTGTAGGCGCAAGTACGAAACCAGGCACTGAGTCTGCCCACATAGCTGTCGTGGAGAAGGAAGGCTTTACCTCTTACCTGTAGAAGCTTTTCCCTCACCCACCGTTCCTTAAATCCATTTAAATATCGAGGACTTTTTTTCTCATTCATTCTGCTGTAATGATGTTTGTACAGAGTCTTCTCGAACAATATGTATGTAGCTAAAATTTAACTTTGTCATCTATTACAGTAACATAAAGTATTATCCCCATCAGGTGACATTTTAGTGTGTTTATTAAATGGGGTAGAATATTTCCTTATAATAAGCTCCTGAATCATTGATTGCCATAAGCAAAAGCTACTAGTTCCTGGAAATTAACAATGAGAAACACCAAAATCTAAAGCAAAATACGATAACTTTTAAACAGTATTAACCCCACCCCGAAACATTTCAAGCACCTTGTACTATGCTAGCAATGAGGGCGAAAAGGGACTCCAACGCCATAGTGAACCCAGAGGAAGTATGTGTGCTATGGTGTCCTGGGTTACACCTTGGGCCGTTAACTGCAAGGTCAGCAGTTCAAAATCACTAGCCATGGAGAAAGATGGAGGGAGGGAGAAATCACTAGCTAAGGGAGAAAGAGAAGGGTTTCTACTCCAACAAAGAGGTACAGTTTGGGAAAGCCATGAAGACAGTTCTGATTTTCCCTTGATAGCAGTGAATTTGGTTTGGTTTGGTTTGGTTGTGAAAACACAACTTGACTTATAAGTCTATAGTATTACTGGCGCCCCGGTGGCGTAGTGGTTATACATTGATCTGTGACCTGTAGGGTCAGCAGTTTGAAGCCACTAGCCCTTCCCACCACTAGGTAGGAAGACAGGGTTTTCAACTCCAGCAGTCTCTGAAACCCCCAGGGACAGTTTTACCTTGTCTGATAGGGTTGCTAAGTCAGCATCAAATCGATGTCAGTGAGTTGAGAGTAATAATGACCTAAAAGACCATGAGATGGCAGGGCTTCCCTGAAAAGCTCAAATAAATTTCCTAGAGAAATTTGATGCGTTGAAGTGACAGTATTAGAATAAGAGGCTGATTTGAATATGCTAAGAAGTATGTGACTCAGACTGCAATGATTAAGAGACTAATGGCAAATAATTTATTGAAATTTAGAAAATAACAGGTTTCCTGAGTCTTACCCTAATACTTTTTCCCCCTGAAAGGGCTTACGATCCTATCCAGAAAGGCTTTTAGTGACACGCTATTTATCCCCACTCTATGAATAAAGTTAATGACCAGATATTATTTATAAAGCATCACTCATAGACCAGTACAGAGGTAGCCTGGTGTTCCATACCTTTCAGTATATTGGTACATTTCAGAGTTGAATCCTGACGATGGCTCTGAATTCTCAAGGAAAACATAAATTACACACAGTGCACAGTATTTTGTAGAGTGGGGACTTCCATCAAGAAGATTTTGAACAAAGCAGCCTTTTCCCTAATACTTCTTTTACCTGCTAGCATGCGGGGTTTCTCATGATAAACAGTTGCCCTGGCTGAGGACAGATAATGGCCAGTGTGCCACCATCAGATCAAACTGAGTCACAATCCCTATCAACAGTGACTTCGTTACCTAGTACAGCTATAACAGAAATACCGTAAGGGGTGGCTTCAACAAATGTTGTTTTTCTCACAGCTTAGGAGGCTAAAGGTAGGAATTCAGGGTGCCAGTTGTAGGGGAGGCCCTCTGTTCAGCCCTCGAGACAGGTCCTGTGCTGCTGCTGCTCCGGGTTCCTTGTGGGTTTCTGTTTGTCCTGGCATCCGTCCTGCCCTGTCGCCCCTCTCCATTAATCTCTGATTTACGACATGTAACTTGGGAGAAGAGGGGGACACAACTCAGTCTATAGCAAGAGACTTAAAGATCTGCCAGTATTTTTCCTTATTTAATAAATACTGTACATTGTGAGTTCACATGCCAGGATTAAAATTCTTATTGGGGCTTTATGTGTTTTGCTGAGCAAGAAAATAGAAAGAATCTCAGATTTTGAGGATAGATCCAAAAGTATTGCTATAAAAAGCATAGAAAAAAATTTCAACAAAAATATCAAATGCAAAACCTGATTCTCAACCTATCCTCCCTCAAGGTCGTCACGCTTCTGAAGGCAGTGTTTGTGTCGCTCTTCCTCCCCGAGGAACTCTGCTCTCTGTGATGTCCAGGATGCTCACAGATGGTTTGGCATCCTTAGGAAACTCCCATCGTGCTGCTTTTAAATGCTCTTTGAGTTTGGGGAACAAAAAGGTCTGAAGGGGCAAAGTCAGGGATGGGATAAGGTTTCCCAATAAAATTCTCTCAGAACAGCTCGTTTCCCTCAAAGATTGAGTAAGTGCTTAAAATGATGGGGGGGTGGGGGTGGGGAATTCCTCTGTACAACTTTCTTGGCCTTTTTCTCACTAATGCAGTTTGCAGTTTTCCTAAACCTTCTTCATAATAAGCCCTTATGATCATCCTATGTTGTTTGAGAAAACTATCAAGACCAACTCAGTGGTGTCCCCTTACAAAAAAAACAAAGCAGCAAAAACCACAGGAGTTGTTAAAACCTGCTGTACTTTCTCCTCTGCCTTGAATTTTTCTGGCCCAGCAGATTCCCCTAGAATCCACTGTTTTCCTTTTGCATGGAGCCCTAGTGGCGTGGTGGTTACACATTGGGTTGCAGTCTGCAAGGTCAGAAGTTCAAAACGACCAGCCACTTCACAGTGAGTCAGCATCTATAGCATGGCAGTGAATGTTCTATCTTTTTGGCGTTAACCTTTTGGAGACGAAGACAGTGTACTCCTGAGAGGCCATATCTGCAGCCCTCCCTTGATCTCAGGGGCATGTTTAAACACATTTCTTGTGAAATGACCCCATGCAGGGATGAACTTGAGCCCCAATAGTAATACTTTTTGACGTCCCCTCATATTTTAGATCAATTAAAATGCTTGTCTTGCACTTGTTTATTGGCTTATCAATCAGAAGTGGGCCAGAATACAATGTACTATGTAGTTGCATTATTTAAAAATAGATCTAATAGGGGATATTTAAATAATTTAGATTTTGAGAAATATGAAATTAAAATAGAAACTTAAAATGATTTTCATCAATATGATCATTTCTAGGTAAATTATTCAGCTGTTAACTCTGCCTGCTGAGCCATTTTATTATGAGAGCCCAGAAATTGCTTTTTAAATTAATAAATACATGAATGGTAATTAATAGAAAATGTTGCAGCTATCAGGGTCTAAAACAGATGACGGATGCCCTGGTGACCATCCTCAGGAGCATGGTTCCTGCAAATCTACTCAGTGGGCTGGAACTTCACATTCATCTCTGTAATTTCTGCATGATTCAGGATGTAAACAATTTCTAGCTTAGATTACATCTGTTCATTCACTCTTTAGTATCTGCAAATAGAGTCCAGAGTAACAGTAAACAGGATGTATGCTCTATGTAAAGACTTTTTTCTTCTGTCAGATATTACATTTTGTGTTTTATGCTAGTTTAGGAAGATTATTAAGGATGAGTAAGGGTAGACAAAGATATCGTGACCATAAAAAAGACATATGGATATTTTAAATTATTTGTGTCCTAAAAGCATTAATTTGTTTATACCTGTAAAAGCCCAAGAAGGTGAAAATTTTAAAAATATGGATGCCATGTTTAGTCTGAGGGCTCTAGAGGGTGTTTCAAAAAGATTGTGGAAAAATAGAATTAAACACAAACATTAAAAAAAAATCCTCTTGTAAAACTGTTAGAGGGAAGTGACAAAAATAAACATAATTCTTATCAGTTATGATCTTGATACTTACTTTACATTTCCATTATAAAACTGGATCTGTTCTTTGTTGTTGTTTTTGTTGTTTGGTGCAGCTAAGTCTGTGACGTCATAGCAACAGTCATGTGCAGCAGCGTAAACGTGTCGATGGCCTTTGTGGTAGCAGTATGAGTGAGAGAGAGCGAGCGAGAGAGAGAGAGAGAGAGAGAGAGAGAGAGAGAGAGAGAGCGAGCCTGAAAACTTGTGTTGTGGCTAAAGAGGAGAATTAAATATTTCTGCCTCATTGCAAGTAAATATATTTCCTCTTCTAATTACAGCATCTTCACAACTATCTCACAGTGACTCTTGGGATTCCCGTTTGGTGTTCCTATGTGTTTTTCGTCGTAGCCACCTTGGTTTTCGGCCTTTTCATGGGTCTGGTAAGAGATAATGCAATCTTTTTATCATCTTTAAAGCAAAGTGAGTTTCACAGAAACCTAAGAAATAGCACCTACATATTTTTTTGTGTACAACCTAAGCAATTAAATAACCGTTGCTTATTTGAGACCATTTCCATGAAATCTTTAATATGGCAGAAAATTCATTAAATGATTAGCTCCATATCCTATCTCCTCAATATTCTAAAGCCTGTGCTGCATAGAAAATAGGCAGTGATTACAGGAGAAATATTTGAAGTAGATGGTCAGTTTCCAAGATAACTGTAATTTCACACATTGCCTGCTTGATTAGAACATTATGTTGTTAAGGCCAGAGATGTGAATTTATTCCTGCAGTAAACAAGTTGGTTTTTTCTCATTTATATTCTGTAATTACAAATCTAATCCTGGACAGCTTCTTTACTGCTTTTTTCCAAAGTAGTTTGTGTAAGAAAATGTTTGCAAAGCAACCCAGACTTACAGTGAATGTAGGTAAGATGCAAAATAAATGACCCTGCTCTCTTTGGACATGAAAAAGTAAGCATCTATACATTTTTCCTTAGGTATGTTCTTTGTAAGAGTATAATAACCCTATTAATGATATAGAAAACTGTAAGTAATTTGGCATATTTTACTCATATATGTAAATGAAATAGCTTGTTATTATATCCCTTTACCTACAATTGATAATTTAAACTCTAGTTAAGCATTGTGCAATATGCTAATTGCACAGCTTCTAAATGTTATATTATGGGAAAATGGTTGATGATTATTAAAATTTTAGCGAATAAACTTTTAAGTAAGACTCTTGTGAAGTCTGTTCTGACATTGTATTTTGGCTCTTTACAATGATTTTTAAACAATAAACCGTGAATGTTAGCAGTTGCTTTTATATTCCTAAGTTGGTTGACAGAGCTGTAACGCCAGGGAGCCACGGGGATGTGAGGTATTTTGACTTGAGCACGCTCAGTTCAGACTAGCTGCTCCTTGAGATGTGCCTGCTGGTGTTAGCTTCAAGGGTGGGCGATGGGACTTCAGTATCTATATGTGCCATCTATTCTGTCCTGGGGATGTCTTCTGTTTTGCATGAATTACTGTTTTGCATGGATTTTGTTGCTAATTAACAGGCCTCTATTGCTCTGGCCTCAAAGGTTTTTAGCTATAAATGAACTATAATTATCTTTGCTTCTCCTGTCTATTGTTGATTTTTGTCAGTTCTGATTCATAGTGGCTCTATGTAGAACGGAACAAAACAAAACAGTTTGGTCCTACCCTGTCCTTAGAATTGTTGCGATGTATGTATGTGCCCATTGCTGCAACCCTGTGTCAGTCCTTTCTGGTTAAGGGGCTTCCTCTTTTTTTGCATATCCTGAAGGAAGAATAAGATTGATTCCAAATTGTTCACATGTTTAAATAGCATAGGACATCAATTCTTGATAAGATAGTAGAGATAAAACTTTAAATGCTGAAAAAATATTAAAAATATACAAAGTGATGTTTTAATATGGTTCTGAAAACTCTTAAACTCAGATCTCTGCTCAAATGCCTTTTTGCCTCTGTAGTAAGTATGAAGAGAACACTGTGGCTGGAAGTTTTCCTCCAACAACCGTACATTTCTTATATACTTTTTACATACCTTTGGTGGATTAACTATACAATTTGAAGCAATTGGCATTCTTAACCCAACTTAAGACAACTATTCCAAAATAGTACTTTCACTAACTCTTTGGAATATAATAGTATTTCACATCATAGCTGTTTGGAAACATGGTATTTGTATAATGCACTATAGTAAAAGAACACTTTAGGCTGCCCGTGCCTGGCCCTGTACCCTGCCCGCAGAAAAGAACGATGCCTGTGTTGACACACCTCCTGTGAGGCCAGGCTCAAAGGGTTCTTCAGCACCTTACCCACACCCGGGTCTGAATTAAAGGGACAATTCAGATCCAGTGAGCCTGAGAAGAGATTGCTGAGCACGGATGTCCCAGTGTTCACCATGGCCTCCAGAGAAAGAGCCGTGGAGTCACCTCGTGGAGGACCGTAGTCCACTGAGAGTTTGTGACTCGGTGGCATTTCTGCTTTGTAGAACCGGACTTCTGGCAGTTCAGTACACGGTGGCGGGTTGGCTTGTCTTGGGCATGAAAGTTGGGCCCAGGCCAACCCTGGTCCTGGTAGCTTAGCTGCTCTTCCTTTCCCCTCAGTAGCTTTCCACAAAGGAGTGATGTCTTCATGTTCATTGTATCACGTAGGCCTGACTAGTGTGTTTCCTATTTTTCCTCATTGTGAAAGATGAGACATGAATAAAGGTGATAATTGGATTTTTATTTGTTTTTCTTGATGAAGCCTAGTAATGGTTGTACTATTTTACTGTTATGATTAGCTTGGAAACAAGGGGCTCAGTTTGAGGGATCAAGTGAATCTTGGCATTTTATGCCAATATGGGAAAGAAGCTTCAGTGCAAAGAGCCATAAAGAACCCTCTCGGGCAGCATCAACTTCTGTTGTCTGTAGCTCTCCTCTGAAGGAGAGAAGGCAGCAAAACTCTTGACCAGCAGGAAAGCGAATCAGAACCGAGCCAATGTCCCAATGAGCAGGATCTAAGGGCTTTCCTGCCCACATAGTGTAGTAACGGACTGTTTTCTGATGACCTTTTCCATTGACATAGATAGAGGTCCAAATCTTGCTGCTTAGGCAGGGTATTTTTCTAGGTGCCATCACTAGTGCCTCCCATAGAGGAGAGACTCCAGTACCCTGAGACATGGTTCCTTCTCTGTGAAAATGAGTAAATTCTATCCTCTCCATATTTAATACCTGACTATGTGAGTAGAACCTAAAGGCTGAGAGTATAACCCTGGAAGAACCAGTGTGGAGGAGGGAGGTGCCATTCCCCTATAGACCTTATTTTTAAACTGCATTCTTAGTGGCTTAGAAAAAAAGGGTGTTCCATTCCAAGGAAATGGTATCTCAGAGCATAGGCCTGAAAAGTGAGACTATAGTAATGTTCTGCCTTAGTCTATTCAGATGCAAAGGATTTTCTCTTTGTGGCTCAAATCAATTGAATGGTTTAAAGCATGTTGCCCCTAACCCATAGAACCTTCCTTCTGTTCTTTTGCCTACCACAGTGGTCTCAACTTGCACTTCATGGCTTTTGCTGGATCCTGAGCAACCCTGTGATCCTCCTTGGTGTAGTATAGGGCAGCCAGAGAGCTGGGTGGTTCCACAGCCTCTGACTGTGCTCAGGCCTTAAGCCCAAGCAGCCCTTCTGAGTCCTTCCCCATCTCATACCTGGCTGTAATCGCTTTAGCTCAGATCTCGGAGTACTTACTCATTTTTCTCCTGAGACTCACGTTCCACATTGTTTTCTAATGAGCCCCCCCCCCCCTGCCCCCTACACATACTCCATACAGCTCAAGAGCCAGGGTTTAAAATTTTCCCTACTTTTCAACTTAAGCTTCTCTCCCAAGATACTAATATGGTGCCTTGAACCTTGCGAACCGATATATTAAGTGATACATGAACAAATGAACAGTAATCAGCCCGAACACAAAATAGGGCGCTCATTTAATGTTTGTATAGCAGAATCAGAAGGATTATGACTGTGGCTTATATAAAAGTTCTGAGCACCAAAATATATATATATATATATATATATATGTAATATGAAGTCCTACTACTACTGCTTTGAAGGCTGGGCAGCTATTCAGAGTGCAGACATAGTCTGGGAGTTAGCAACGTACAAAGGTTCTTCGTGGGTGACAGCTGGAACCTGGGCAGCAGCTTGCTTTGTGGTTCACTCTGGTGTCACAATGTGGAGAATGGCCTCAACTTGTCTCAGCTCCAGCAGACTCTGCCCTGTCTAACATGCCCATTAGCCTTATCATTGTGGCCTGTGTTGCTCCCTAGTTGTGGAACATAAACAAATCAAACAAACAAATATGAACAAAGTTTAACAATCAGCCGTTGAGCTGATTCTGACTCACGGCACTTATAGGACAGAGTAAAACTGCCCCTGTGGGTTCTGAGACTGTTCTTTACAGGAGTAGAAAGCCTCATCTTTCTCTTAAGGAGCGGCCCAACACCACCAGGGGCTCCTAGGTGTGAAATATGGACTGTTTTTAAGGAGCTTGTAGTTTATCGGGACAAGGTAATATGAATCCTAGTGCAGGCAAGGTCAACATTTGAGCTAATAAATCACATCTGAAATATGGTTTAGCTCACAGTTTGTTTCTATAGAAATGGCTATGGTACTCTTGAGATTTTCAGCTCAGATAGGGATTGCCTCATTGGTGAGAGGCAGCCCATGTACAGACTAGTTTTATTTGCCCAGGATAGTGTTTGAAAAAGATCTCTGAGGCTTGGTTGGTGGCATATCGTTTTTTCTTATACCTGCTTGATTCCTCTGTTTGTAACAGGCTTTCGGGAGACAATTGACTAGGTGACCTGTGTTCTAAAATTAATAGCATTTTTTGTCTTATGTTTCCATTTGAAAATAGGAACTTGTTAATTATACCTTTGTCCTTTTTGAGGGCATTTGACCAACTGCTAATTATTTGTCTAAAAATATCTACATACAGTAGCAGCAAGGCCTAATTTTGAGGCCCTTGGGTAAAACTGTCCTATCTACTAACTGTAAAATCACCTTTCCCCCATCCAGGTCTTGGTGATAATATCGGAATGTTTCTACGTGCCACTTCCCAGGCATTTATCGGGCCATTCTGGTAAGCATGATGAACTCATGGGATAAGATACCACCGGGTTTCTGCCCTGTGCTTGCTCCTGCTCCTATGGTGGCGGGTTTTCCCGTGATTGACTAGATGGCGAAGCCCGAAGTCTGTAAAGTTAATTTTCTAGGTAAATTTAAACAAACATTTTTACCTGCTGCTAAAGAATGCTTCATTTTGGCTTATTTTTCTCCTTAATCTCCTTTCAGTGCATGTTCTTCCATTAATCATTGTCCAGCCTTTGCTTTAGGCAAGGTTGGGATGAAAAAGGAGGGACGAGACCTCGAACTTACTGAACTTCTATTATGTGTCATTTACTATGCAACCTCCCAACTGGTTTGCCGTTGAGAAATAAGAGGCTCTGATAGGCTGTTTGTTGCCCAGGCACAAAGCCGAAAGATGGGTCCTTGTGTTTTTAGGGGACTTCTGTGCACGCCCCACGTTTGTGTACTCTTCCATGCTGTTGCTGGACCAGGCGGGCTCAGAGTCTCATGACTGTGTTTGGAAATTTATATGGGGAGTTGATCATGACTGGATTTTGCGTGGGAATTTAAATAAGCTCATGTTTCTTTATAGTCTTTGAAATTTTCAAGGCTTCAAAATTCCATAGAAAATTAAAAAGCATATATTGTTCCTTAGAATTCTGGAAAGTGACAGAAACCTAATTCAATCCAGTTTAGGCAAAATGGAGAATTGATTAGCTCATAGAACTGACATGTCCAGGGATTTTTTGGCATAGCCCAAGTGATGTTAGGTGTCTGATTCTGTATAGGTGACTCTATGATTGTCAGCTTCTCTCTACCTCACATTGGATCAGCTTAGCAATTCTCTCAGAGGAGAACTTTTCTTCCAAAAAAAGCCACCAAACTCATGCCATCAAGTCAATGCAGAACCTAAGGGGCAGGCTAGAGTTTCTGAGACGGTGACACTTTTCAAGGGTAGAAAGCCTTGTCTTTCTCCCTCAGAGAGGCTGATGAGTTTGAACTGCTGGCCTTGCTTGCAGTTAGCAGCCCAGATGGTAACTTACCCTACACTGGCCAATAATTCCAGGAGAGAGCTTTGATTGACTCCGGAAAAGCTCCATTGCCGAGCCAGTCATGACCAGGGTGTCATAGAGTCTCCTACAAGCTACAAAATGCAGAGAGGCTCGCCCTGCCCACGTGCCGTCAGAGAAATACGCAGAGAAGCTGGATCGGGCTGTGATCCCATCCAAGAGGACCTCAGAACTAGCCCGTCCAGGGGGAGAAAATGGCCCAGTAGTTCTCACCTTCCAGGCCTTATTCCACTGTACAATGAAAAATACGCAATCGATTGCTGAATGATTACTGTTCATTTAGAAGGCATTCTTTTTGTTACTCTTCCTTCCACAGAGCCGAATGAGAGGTCAGAAGAGACGCACAGGGCTGAACAGTTGCAGGACGCAGAGGAGGAAAAGGACGATTCAAATGAAGAGGAAAACAAGGATAGCCTTGTGGATGATGAAGAGGAGAAAGAGGACCTGGGGGATGAGGAGGAAGTGGAGGAGGAGGACGAGGAGGAGGAGGAGGACAACCTGGCAGCTGGGGAAGAGGAAGAGAAAAGTGATGCCAATGACCAGGGTCCCCCAGGAGAAGACAGCACAGCTGAGGGAGAAGTGGGACCTGAGACAGAAGGGGGTGCTCCTGAACGGCCTGGTTCAGCTGACCCCGAAGTGGCAGGGGACTCAGTGAGGCAGCGCAAAAGTCATCAGGCTGAGAAGGGACCATAGGCTTATGGCCGCTTTTTCTTGTGATAGAGACCAAAGGAATGAGTCCCTTTTCCTTGGTCAGCAATTTAAACCAAATCTTTACTTTTTCCTGAATGAACAAGCTTTTCTCTCAAAAGAGGATCTCAAGTTATGTGTCTTCAATACATTAAGCCTCATGTATAATTAGTGAGAATTGTGCAGGCACGACAATCAGGAAACAGAAAAGCAAATGTGGTTGTTATAATCTGTTTGTGGACTACTGGTGGGAACATGTTTATTTATTTGGCAAGAAGACGCAATCCCAAGCCTATATTAGCTCCTTTTAGAAACAGGCTGTGTGGACCCCATAAAATGAGAGTAAAGCAGCCTTCACCCCTGAGCATCTTCAGAAGGGGGAAGCAGCAGTCTGGCTTCCTCTGCTTATTTCAAGTGTTTATGGTGGTCAAACTTTGTGAGAAACATCAAGTGGCATCTTGTAGGAACCGTTTTGTTTTGAAGATTGAATATGAGAGGATTCTGGATAGTATTTTGGAAAATAGTTTGGAAGTCATCCCAATTTCTTAAGTCACCTCTGTTATGTTTTATTGATTTTATTTTTATCCCCAATTTTCCAAATTGGCTTGCAAACTCCTGGCATTTTTCGCTTCACATCCCTCTTGCAGCTGTTGCTGATCATCAGTACACTTGTTACCTGTGTGTGTTCTTGCGTAGGGTTTAAGGCATCAGGAACCACAGCCTATGAGGCCATAGCTGCTGGGAAATGTAACCTTTGAAAGGAAGCGTGGTATTCTTTTTACCCCTGGGCACTCTAAGTCTTACCAGGTCACTATAGTGTTTGGCAGAAAACGTGAGTACTGTGTTGCTTTATCCCCTTCGCAAAGGGCTCCCTGGCTCTCGAACCACTCGAATAACTGGGAAAGCACTTTTGGTTTTCCTCCAGCAGTGTGCTTTGGTGAAAGAAGTAATGGAAGTAAGTAACTGGAAATGAAAGATTTAATGCCTTTTCTTTATTCCTTCATTTTCTAAATAATTGTATCTTTTAAATCTCTTGCCATTCAACCTGCTAAACGAATAGGTGTCTGTCTTGATTATCTAACAAAGAGCACCACAAGAGGATGGCTTTAACAAACAGATATATTCTCTCACCATTTAGGGGGCTAGAAGTCTTGAATTCAGAGCCCCACTGCAAGGGGATGGCTTTCATTCTTTGATGTCTCTGGGGAAAGGCCCTTGGCTCTGTTCAACATCTGTGGGCCCAGTGTCCCTGGGAAACCTATGCGTTGGCATCAATCTTACAGGAGGTTCCCAGCATAGGGGCGCATGGCTCTATGACATGCTCTCCTCTGGGCTCTTTTTCCTGGAAGGTTCTGAAGTCCCTCCTTTTCTGCTTGCGTCTTTTCCCTTTTATCTCTTATAAAATAAAAAGGAAGCTCCCTTGCATCCGGTCATGTCTGTGAGCTGCATAAGGGTTGTGACTTGAGGAAGGGTGACGCACGCCACCCTCACCAGCCTTATTGACGCAGCAACCCAGACTCAGACTTCATCCGCACGGCCGAGCCCTGCCTCAGGGACTGCAGCCGAGGCAGGCATTGACGTCACATCACCGAATGGAGGTGGATCACACAGTCCTGGGAATCCCGGCCCAGTCAGCTTGACACCTGAGCTGACAATTTGATCCATGACAGGACCCAGTTTCTTTAAAAATCAATTTATATACTTTTCTCTGACATTACTTATGTCTTAGAATTTAATAAGATTAAGAAAGATGCTTGAATTGATTTTATGCCCCTTGGGACTGACCAGCCAACAACACAGATGTGTGGCATTAAGCAGGTTTCTTCATTTTAAAACCGAAGGTGCGGTAGACTTCTGCCTTGTTCGTAAATAACTCCTGCCTGGTATTAAGGAGCCCGGTGGGCCAGGCCTTGGGCTGCTACATACAAGGCTGGTCGTTCAGACTGACGTAACAGAACAACCTCCCAGCAGGAGGAAGATGTGCTGTTGGTACCTGTAAAGACGTGCAATCTCAGCAATGTGTCGGAATCAGCTTGGGGCATATCGGGTTTACTGTTGTTTGGTTTTGTTTGCTTTTGGTCTTTTTTGTTGTTTTGTTTCCTCCGCGTTACTGATGGTAGTGCTCTGTCTCTTCATCCTGAAGAGCTCCCTTTTTTCCTTGGACAATGCACTTTCACAGGGACAGCGCCTTCTCTGAGGGTACCAGCCCCTCCTGAGGGCATGTTCAAAAGACTTGAGATGGGGTCTCCCCATTTTTGCTGCTAAAGAGCATTCGCTGTTTTTGTTTTTTTTTTTCTCTAACGGGTGGTGTTTGTTTTCTGTATTTTTCCTATCTTTCTCCTGGAAACTCATGATATACATAATGATTCTTCACCAACATCATAATTCAAGAGCATCGATTCTTCTCTGGTTTTCTTTCTTCATTATCCAGATTTCAAATGCCTATCAGTCATTTAACGGAATTATGAATTTATTTAACTAAACCCTACCCATTGCCACAGAGTCCATTCCGATTCAGAGGCGCCCAGAGCATTTTTGCGGCTATAAATCTTTACAAAAGCAGACAGGCGCATCTTCCTCCCACGGTAGGCTGGTGGGTATGAACTGCTAACCTTGTGATTATTAGAGATTCGTATTTTGTGCAAATGAAGATTAGATGGAGTAAGCAAAAGTAACTTTTGGAATGGGGTGCAGTGCTTTTTGTGTGGGTGCCTTTGTAGCAATGAGAAGAAAAGTCTGACATTTCTTGCTACCTTGATTATTTCTTTTCTTATCCACCTGCTGTTAGATTTGGAAACTTCCAGCTTGTACAGTGATCTCCTATGGAAGCTGCATACATGTACTTCTACCCTTCCGTCCCTGGGAAGTCTGAGCACTGAGTAACTAGAGGACCTGGCTGAGTGTAGGCCCAACTAACTGTTAAAAAGCAGCGGTTCAGTGAGGCTGCTCATAGACAGTGGTTTATAAACGTTGACTCTTTACTGTGGGGAAAAAACAAAACAACCCTTGTCACTAGCTGTGGCATGGCTACGTGATTTCAGTACATGCAACTCTGCAGAGCCCTTGGTGCAGATGGCGAAGGTATCTTTGAAGACGAATATGTTCCATATGACTTTGAACTTGAGTCCTTCAGGAGTGGTGAGGATATGTACCTTCGCAGATAGGAAAGAGGAAAGGGTTGCAAAAAGCCAGGAAACATAGGGCCAACCTGAGAAGCCAACCCCAAACCTCAAGTTGGCCTGAAGCAAGAGCAAGAAGGGGGACAGGGGTGCTTTTGCTAAAATGCCACAGTAGTTTATACATGTTCTCTATCTCAGTGTTGCAGTGTTTTTCTGTCAGTATTATAAAGGTGTGGCTGGCTTATCCTGTCCAATATACCAGTGTTTTGGAAAGTTTTCGTGTATACCTTTTGTGCCAACAGAAAAGTTCCTTGTTAGTATTGCTTTACTTCCGTCTCACCTTTTGACCCTCTTGAGAAGATAATAGTCTTGAAAAAGCCAAATGTGGGGTCCACCTGTATGAAGACGTCTCCCGGAGCAGCTTTCAGAGAAGGAGGTTCCGACCAAGGGCTTTGGGTGCCTGCAGGCCAAGAAGGGGCCTCCACATGGCTTACTCTCAGTGATGTTTCTTGTGGACTATGACATTGTAAATGTGTGACGCAGACAACCTTGACGTGTTTCTGATGCAGTGTGTCCTTATTTGTTACTAAGCAGCTTCTCCATGGAAATGCGATTTTTATACTAAAAATACTGCTCATTTGTATTGCAATGCATTATAAATTTGTTATTTATATCCTTTGCAATAGTCTTGATTATTTAGCCCACTAAGATTTAATTAATTTTCTCATTACCCATGTATTCTCTGCTTCCTCACACAGCATCTGCTGCAACTGCAGTGACACACCAAGGGATTGCTTTGAAGTAGAACATTGCCTGAATTACAAAGCACTTGATCACTTCACTGTATACAGGCCCTTGACCCTATACGCTTTCAATTTTTTTATTGTAAATTTCCATTTGCACCCAAACATAGCGATATTGATGAGTGAGTAAAAACAAAATGGTATCTTTATTTTCATAAAAGCCATTTGCCTAGGCAGTGAAAGGACTATTAGCTTTTACAACAATAATGGCCGGCCCCCGAATCCTGCACAATTTGTTCTCTTTCCCTTTTCTCTCCCTCCTTTTTCCTTCTCCTTTTCTCCCTGGCCTGGTGAAACTCAACCCCAAGACCCTGTAGCTGTTCTAGGAATTTTCAGCAAACCAAGAACAAATCACCAAAACCCAAGGTGCCTCTTGTTGCAGCGCATTCCGTTGCCTGAAGAAACTCATTATACTGACCTCTCAGGTCTCCCTTCTGGCCAGCGTGGTAGGCCCTGTGTGTAGCCTGACTGACCTGCTCTCCTAGGGCATTGTCAGGGTTAGCCAGTCCTTGACACATCATCACAGGTCTGGTAGGTGCAATTGTACAGCGATAATAAGTAAAGATTATAGGAAGTCATAGAGAGCATGGGAGATAGAAGAGAGTTTGAAATAATGGACACATTTTTCATGGTAGCATGCTCACCTCAGCCTCACTTGGTGGTCCATGTGGAGAGAGAGAGCTATTTATTGCTAACCAAGGCTTTTATATTCTCGGGACGTGTAAGCCCCCTAATTACAGGTGATGAAATATGTGACAGGAAAGGGTTGTGCTGTAGGTAATACAGTAATGGGAGGGGGTGTTCTAGGGGTATCCACGCAATAGGAAGAGGTGTTTCCTCCTCCAGAGGTGCTGGCAGAGGTCAAAATCACTAACCTTTTGGTCAGAGTTAGGAACTTCTGTTTCGCCACCAGAGGCACTGATGAGTCTCTAGGGAAGAGCAAAAGATCAAGACTGTAACCATGGTGTTTGGGAGGACTTTTCTCCTGAGAGATGTTGCTGTTTCCGGATTGGGGGTCCGGGTAGATATGGACAGGTAGGGCCGGGGCGGGGGTGGGAAGGAGATGGTGTTGAAAGATACTTTGGCGAACATTATTGAGCTGAGGAGACAGGGTTTGGTGACAGATGGGAGGGTCTGTGGGTACCTCCCTTCTTTGGGTTGGGTCTTTGAAAGGACTGGTGCTAGGACTTTGTAAGCAGGTCCC